CCTATGATTTTTGGCTTGGCAACTACGTAAAGCGTAAATAAGACATTGACCTCTGATCGTTCGTCAACATTATCTTACTTAAGCATTCAAAATGCGACGTTAACTGCGCGATTAAGATCGGCTACTCCAAAAGATGTCCTCAAGTATTGAAGAGATTCTTCATAGTTGCAAAATCTTTGCTGGACATCAATTAAATCCTTGAAAACATAATTAAGATTAAAATATTTAAATCTAACGGAGTTTAAATTGGATCCGTTGATGAGGTTACCCATTAAGCGTTTATTTTCACCTTAGCATCTTAGCTGAGAGTAAGCCAGATCCCATCTACTTTTCTAGATAATTCGTTTTCAACAAGAACGACGGAAGACCCTTGCTATTAACCACGACACAGAGCAGATAAGTTTACATTTTAATTCTGGGAAGTATCAAAGCAACGATAGATAAGGAGGGATCAAAGTCAGATCGTTGTTATATTCGAGAAGTTGATCTTTGGATTCAAAGTGTACGCTTTGGACTTGCCGATATAGTCGACTGCTTCATGTTCTAACATTTAAGCTTTTAAATTTCAGAATTTGTTTCACGATTCCCTCCTGAATTTATGCTCGCTTATTCTAGAGTTTATTGGAAGCTTCTGATATGCCTTTTAATTCTTTTATTACTAATTAATTGGATTTAGGCATGGTTTCGCTCAGTAGAGTTCATTTAGGATGAAGTCAAAGAAAATTGCGATAACTTTTACTAGCAGACACTCTTACATGATTAAAACTAATGCACAAGCATACATCCATCAACTTCTTCCACTATTAAAATGAATGATAATTTGTAAAGTAAGCTAATGTGATTATTTCGCAGCAATAATATTCCAGTTAATTCGAACTTATCCTAAGCTCAACACAAGTGCTCCACGATGACACCTATCATAACACCGTTTAAAGAGACTTACTCATCTGCTACACTCATTAATAAAATCACGAAAAATAGAGGGCTGACAGTCCTCGGCCTTCATATTTTCCTCATTTAAATTCAAACTAGTTAGGTGAGGTCATGCGTTTCGGCAACTGCAGACACAATTTCACACTGGTCAATTCAAGGTCGAGGGGAAAACATAAAATTCACCCATACATCTAGCTCTGCGCAACCTTGTGTCGCCCAAATGTCGCCTTATACATGTTGCTCCGGGCAAATAGCACAAGTTGATATTAGTTTTTTAAAATCGCCTAAATGAAGCTAGTCACACTTAATGCACTGCGCGCACTTTCTAAAGTTACTTTAAAACGTCTGCTTTCATAAAAATTCAATCGTCAAGGCTTATGGCATTAGAAAATATAGAGAGGCTTACCTGCGGGGACTGTAGATTTCAACTTCTTTTCAATTGATTGTTGTAAATCCTGACCATTCTCAAAAGTAACGTGGCGAGACGACCCACTACCGGATAATTGGTCCTTATTCTCAAGCTAAAGCATAATGTTTAAAGTAATTAAAGGCCCTACTTGCTAAGTCACATAATTTCAATAATTATACCTTTTCAAGCAAAATACGATCATTAAGACAAGAATACCACATTTGAGCTCGTCGACGTTTAGTTAGGGATTCATTATCGTTAGCCAAATTCCAGACCCTTTTAGTACCATTTGACAGTTCCTTCTGCCAGTTGCTTTGATCATGGAATGTGGAAACTTTTGACTTATCGATTATATTCTGTGGCTTAAAGCGCTCCAAGAATATGATCATTTCAAGAAGATGAAGCCAGATATCGTAGCAGAGAGCCTCGCATGTTGAGTTGGAGATGGTGAGATGCTGGATTCTCAACATGATTTCTTCACTTCCTGACTTCCCTTTACTCAGTAGGCCAAGAAGTCGGTGAACGGAGGAAATGCACCGACCACACTGCCTTACATCCTTAAAAGCAGCCTATAGATAGGTAACAAAATAATAATAATAAATTAAAATAAGTTCACCATTTAATCATTTATGAGATGATTCACAAACCAATTACAAGTTCAATGAACCCCAAATGGTAAAAACAATACGTAAATATTTAACAACACCAAAGATAATTATTGTTTTCATCCACGGCAAAAAAAGAAATTTTCTACAATATCTATCACAAAAAAGGATCTGAATACGGAGAACAGCATACTAATTCTATAAGAAATTAAGGAAGAGGAATATGGCTTGAGATTTATTTCACTACTTTCGAATAAATTTTGCCCACTCTTCTTTGTTGATGAGAGAAGCTTGTGGGACACGTTATCGCTTTGTGCGTCATCGTATGCCTGCATGCCAGGATTGGGAGGTGCGGCCGTACAGCTTTGTGTGCAGCGACAGTACAAACAGTGACCAATCATTAACCTCTGTTTGTGCTACCGTACAAACAGTGATCAATCATTAACCTCTGTTTGTTTCCGTACAAACAGTGACCAATCATTAACCTCTGTTTGTTTAACCTAAACCCCCATCCTGATCATGAGTAGCTCCCCGCGTCTACACGTTACCCACAATATACGCACTGAATAGACGTGCTCCATGCTACACGTCTGTTTCCTTTACAGCTGGGCTATAGCTTAGCAACACGTCTGTTTCCTTTATAGCTGGGCTATAGCTTAGCTGAATTATACGTCTGTTTTCTTTATAGCTGGGCTATAGCTTAGCTAGTTCGGGAGTCTAGCTAGATGTAGGAGAATCTGCCAGAGATTTCTCGGGAGTCTAGCTAGATGTTGGAGAATCTGCCATAGAGACTTGATTTCTTTATAGCTGGGCTATAGCTTAGCTGGTTCTGGGAGATCCTTTCATAGCTGGGCTATAGCTTAGCTGGTTCTGGGAGTCTTTCATAGCTGGGCTATAGCTTAGCTGGTTCTGGGAGTCAGCCTATAGCTGGGCTATAGCTTAGCTTATTCTGGGAGTCTAGCGTAGCTGGGGTATAGCTTAGCTGGTTCTGGGAGTCTAGCTAGATGTGGGCTATAGCTTAGTTGGTTCTGGGAGTCTAGCTAGATGAGTTTCCCTTATAGCTAGGCTATAGCTTAGCTTGTTCTGGGAGTCTAGCTAGATGTTGGAAATCTTGCCATCGAGATTTCTGAGTCAGTCAGGCTTTACTAAGGTGTTTAGCTGGTTCTGGGAGTCTAGCTAGATGTAGGAGGATCTCCCATTGAGATTTCTGAGTCAGTCAGGCTTTACTAGCGTAGCCAGAGATTTCTGAGTTAGTCAGGCTTTACTAGAGTAGCAATATTTCTGAGTCAGTCAGGCTTTACTAGCGTAGCAATCCGTGGAGCTATAGCTTAGCTGGTTCTGGGAGTCTAGCTAGATGTTGGAAAATCTGCCATAGAGATTTCTGAGTCGGTCAGGCTTTACTAGCGTAGCAATCCGCTACAAGCTCATTGCTCAAATATCAAGAGATGATCATGTCATTTAGCTAATATTTTTTCCCTTTTGCATTTAATTATCTTATTTGACTCCTAACACCTCATTTTAGCATTTTAAATTATACCAGCTATGAGGCAAGTTAGGTACCTTAAACCTATTTGTGGGTTTGAGGGAATTTAATGACGCGAATATTCTTCAAACACGTGACGCACCACACAAGCATCACACATAGTTTTTTTCCAATAGGATATTGAATTCGACTAATTAATTAAAAATTTGAAAAATGAAAATTGATCATAAAATGAAAGTGTAATTTAGAAATTTAGTGAATATGATTGCATATCAAATGTTTGATAATAAATATTAAACCGAAATAAATTAGAATCGAAATGGCCTAGCAGAGTTAGCAAGCATTAGAACATAAATTGAATTGACGTCTGCGTTTTAAACAGCAACCAACAGTCATTATAATCAGGCATATTGGGAAATTCTAAGTTCAGTAACAACTTTTCGGCGATCAAAAACCCCATAGGACGATTAACCATGAATATTAGCGATCGATAAAACGCAAATATTCAAAATCCTCAATTTTAGCTCAATTTGAATTTATAACCATCTCCGTAATATCCTATCCTAATGAGCAAACTAACCTTGTTCTAGTAATATAGGGCTGATCAAAGCTAGTTCCACCAATGGTACAACATTTAGTTAATTCAGTTCTCACAATTTCACTTCTTTATTCAATTCTAAATCAACAAGTGCGTTTATACACAGGTCAATTATTTTTTACTCATCCACCAGGTTGTTTTAGCATACTATCAGTGGAACGAGGTCTCATTAAATCTCCTACAAACTACTGCAAAGAATTGGATGGTAGGTAACAATAAGCTGGGTAATTCTATGCCCTCTTCTGACCAAGTCACTATTTGGATGACTAATCCCGCGGAATACCTCACTTTACCATTCAGGAAAGTAACTGAATTCTAAATTCATATGACAGGTAACCGCCCTTTTTTGCTGGGCTACAATTTAGTTACATCAAAAGATACCTCTACCACATTTTAATGCAAGGATCGATATGGCTATTGGTAAATTTTACTCCCCCTTAGTAAGCCAAACTAAACCTTTACTATTAGGGGTGTGTGCTAGACTTACCTCCACATGGTGCACCCTGGGCAACGTATACTCATACGGCAAAAAAAGTCTATTACTTGGTAGTTGACTTCTGAATTCAAACTACAATCACCCCACTGTATGTCATATTTGACCGCTTACAGTACTCATCTTACCTTTTCTCTGCCGTTGTGTCTGTTTTTTTTACATCTTCGTAACACTCTTCTGTTCCCTCCCTCTGTGAAGCCTGAAGTCAACTAAAAGGCTTATGATCACCATCAAAACGCCTGCCATTTGATATAATACCTTTACTATTAGTTGAACGGTTATGATAATAATAACTCCAAAGCATTTTTAATTTATTTCTGAAATTCAGCCCAGGTGAATAATTGGTGTCATAGAGCTTTTTCAGAGGAGAACTCAATTTCTATCATCTACTTTACTCGACAGACTTGGCTAATACGATTGGCCATTCCACTCACTGGATGTACATTGAATGGCATCGACGAACCCAAACATCTGGCTTAATAAGCATCCATATTAATCGCTGCGCTAGTCCTAAGAAACATTGGTAACAACACTAATTCGAACACAGAGAAGAGATCTGACGATACCAACTTGATGAGAAAGAAGCATTTTACCACCAGTTGCTGCTAATTCAAACGAATGCTATAATTCTTTTCATTCAAAAGATAGGCATCAATAAACATCGAGAAGTCCGACTTGATAGCACTGTGCAAAGGCGGGAACGCTATCACTAGTGTAATGCAATAGTTATGAGCGTATTTTACTTAAAATCAACTACTTTCTGAGCTAAAGTACTCCATACTACCGATTAAAAGTTAATTT